ATGTCAGAACAGGCCCCAAGATGCCAGAACAGGTCCCCAGGATGCTCAGAACAGGCCCCCAGATGCTCAGAACAGGCCCTGGATGCCGGAAAAGGCCCCGACATGTCAGAACAGGCCCCAAGATGCCAGAACAGGCCCCCAACATGCCAGAACAGGTCCCCAGGATGCTCAGAACAGGCCCCCAGATGCTCAGAACAGGCCCCAAGATGCCAGAACAGGCTCCAAGATGCCAGAACAGGCCCCAAGATGCTCAGAACAGGCCCCCAAGATGCTCAGAACAAGCCCCGAGATGCCAGAACAGGCCCCCAGTATGCTCAGTACCTCCCCCCAGCCCATGTTCAGACGGGTGCCCACAGGTCACATCCCCTGGCCGTGGGTCACCCTGGCAGCGGGCGGTGGGGCCGGCAGACCTAAGGCCGCAGTTGCCCCCCCCACGGGGGGGGCGTGGCCGGTGCCAGGCCACCAGGCCCCGCTGAGGGGCTTTCCCGTGGGCACAACCTCAGCACAGGCCTCCGCCGTGGGACTGTTCTCGAAGCCGGGCCGGGACCCTGAGCTCCGCCTGCACACGCCAGGTGCACATTATTGGGGGCAGTCTGGGTCCTGCCGTGGACCCCGCGTCCCCGGCCACGGCCGGTGCCGTTCTCCCCCCGGAATGGGGACCCAGCACCCAAAGCACCTCCGTGTCCCTGGGCCTGGAAGTTTCCTGGCGTCTGTGTACAGGCAGAGCAGGTCTGCCCTGGGCGCCGACAGGGCTTGACCCCCGAGTCCTGCTAGGGGCCCGCCTTTCCGAGGCGCGCGAGACACCACGATGACATCACTGTGTGCGCGTGTGGTTCACCGTGGAACCCAGGGAGTGATGGCCGGGCGATGGGGCGGCGGCCGGGGGCTCACTGAGGGAGGACCCAGCTCCCGCGAGGGTCCCCAGCCACACGGGCCGACTGTGTACACCCCGAGGACCTGAGGATGCCTGCCCAGGACAAGGGCCCCGGGTGGGGGCCTCAGCCTCCCTCAGACAGACCTCAGGCACGTTCCCTGCTCGAGACGACGGGAGTCAGCAGCCCGATGGGCTTGCTGCAGATCCCTCAGGCCTGGGGGACCCTGCCCCCATCACGCGTCCGGGGGAAGAGCAAGTCCAGCGTGCTGGTGACCGAGAGCCCGCAGAGGCCAGGTCCGCAAGGCCGGCTGGGATGGGCCTGTCTCGTCCGTCTGTACTTCGCTGCTTTGAGGGGGAACTTGGGGTTGGGGGGCCGCTGTCGCCCCAGGACAGGATGGGGGTGGCCTTGGCGTGCTCTGGCCTCTGTGTCATGCGGCCAGCGGGGGCAGGCGTGGACAGGCATTCCCCTTCTCGGTCTGCACGAAGAGTGGCCCTGGACAGTCGTCCATCTGCTGCCCGCAGGACGGGAGCTGATGGCAGTGCTTGGCCCGCGGCCACATCCAACAGAGGTCACCACGCTGGTCACTTGCTCAACTCGGCCGCCGCCGCCCGCCTCCCACCCCCCCCGTCCTCAGGCACTCTGGGGGCGCTCTGCTGCCCGTGCTCACCTGTCGCCCTTTCCCGCCAACAGGTACCAGTATTACCTGCAGGTCAAGAAGGACGTGCTGGAGGGCCGGCTGGGGTGCTCGCTGGAGCAGGCCACCCGGCTGGCCGGCCTGGCCGTGCAAGGTAAGGCGGGCCCTGGCCAGGGCCGGGCTGTGGGCGCTGGTCTCCGCGGTCAGCCCCGCCCCTTCCCCGGAGCGCGAGCTGGTCACTCTGGGGGCAGGTTGGTGGGCTTCTCAGGCTTCCAGGCTGTCTGTCTGGCCCCTGCTTGGTCCGGCTTCACTTTGGTTGCACAAAGCCGCGGCTTTTCTCTGGCCTCGGCGACGCCGTGTGCAGGGCCCGGGGTGGCCAGCGAGGGCCTGTGTCTGGCTGGCCGCTGGGCCGGGCAGGCGTCTGTGTGTCTGTTGAGACCCAGGAGGTGGGATCATTTTTAAAGAGAAACGTTTCCCTTTTCTGTGGAGTTCGCCCGTTGCAGGTGTCAACACCCAGATGGCATGGGCTGAGCTTCCCCCGAGACCCCGAAACAAAGCTGGGCCTTTGGGTTCCGAAATGTCAGAACAGGCAACTTCCCTCGACCTCCTCCTGCCCAGAGATTATGGGGGTGGGGGGCGTTTTTGTCAGTCAGACCACCCCGGGAAGTCTGCTTCTGAGGTGACCTGGGCGAGGGAAGCTCTCGAAATGCGGGGGCTCTGTCCGAGGCTCGGGGCGCCTCCTGGCTTTGCAGGCCCTGCTGAAAGAGGGGTGAACAGGCCGTTTTCCTCCCGGGTCTTTGGACCGTGCGGTGCAGTCTGACGAAAACCCCTCTGGCTGTGAGATTTCATTAGGTAGTTACCCCAGAACCTCACTGGGCTGTGGGAGCCACATCAGCAGAGCTCCAGGCCAACAGGCGGGGGCCCCCCAATTCTGAGCCGGGCTCGCGGCGATCTTTGTGTCCTTGGCCGCGTCCTCAGGCCGGCCTGGACACACCACTTCGAGGTGGACACGGAGGAACCAGAACTCTGGCACCTGGCGACTGCAGGTGCACCCCAGGGGGGCAGAGGTGCACCCCAGGGGGGCAAGCCCCTAGTTCGCTCGCCACGGGCGGTTTACAGAGGCTCCCAGCCCAGACCAAGCAAGAGACGGCGGTGGGCATGACTCCTTGGCCCTGTTAACCGTGAGCTAGAAAGTTCCAGCTGCGTCTCAGCTATGTGTAGGCGCCGACTTCACCAGTGGACACACACGGTTTTGAATTTTTTTTTAAGATTTATTTATTGATGCATACAGAACTGGGGGACAGGCCAGAGGGGCAGGGGGGGTCAGAGGAGTCACCAGAGACAGAGTGGGGAGCAGAATGGGCCGACGGACAAAGTGCACTGCTGAGGGGAGCAGTAGGGGGTCAGGAAGGGTCTGCCGTGACCTGGGGGTCCCCTCCGGGGCGGGAATCGAACTCGTGCTGAAGCGGCTTTAGCTTCTCAGTGCTGCGCTTCAACCCGCTGCGCCCCCAGGGAGGGCCACCCTTGTTTTGAAGTTTTAAGATGCCCGTAGACACTCCTGCCCACTGCCCCACTCTCTAGAACCCGCGAGGGGGGCTTCACGGTTGGGCCGGGGGCGGCGGGCAGGCGGGCGGGGCGAGAGGCCCGTCCTCTCCCAGCTCAGTGTAAATTCTGCGCTTCTTCCTTCCCAGCTGACTTCGGAGACTACAACCAGTTTGATTCTCAAGATTTCCTCAGAGAATACGTGCTATTTCCTATGGTGAGTGTGATTTCCTTTTTTTGAATGAATTGTCGACCTCGTCTGGGGTTTAATTCTTCCCCTGATGACCGCGGCGGGTTCTTGGACGTGGCGTGTTTACCCCACGGGGGCGGCAGTCCACGCCTTCACGGGCCACGGGCTGGATCGCTCCGTGTGGTCCGCGCTTCCGACAGTCTCTTCAGGCCCCCAAGCCAGGGTGTCTCCGTCTGACTCCCCGATCCTCGAGCTCAGCTTCCTGTGCCCAGAGGGCATCCCCAGGCCTCTCGCGGCCACTCCTCCGTCCTCTCATTGGGGGAGTCTCTCCTCCTAAGTGGCCACTTGCGGCCACGACTCCTTTGGCGTGTGGCTTCCGGCACACGAAATTGTTCTTGATGTCTGTGCTGTGGCTGGGAGGTCAGTCCGGTCACCCCGAAGTGGGGCCCTCCCTGACCCTCCGTCATCTGGGGCGAGGTTGTGCTGGGAGAGGCTCTTTGGAGGAGGCCGGAAAGGAGCCCCCCGCTCCCGGGTGGTTCGGGCTGACTGAGCGAGGCTTTACTCTCGGGAAGCTCCGGGG